GAAAGAATGTTCTGCTCCTCTTCCTGCAGCTGCAAGTTGATTCTGTGAAGAAAAGCCTTCCAACATGTGGCATCCACTAGAGGGGGTTAAGCACTTTTTTATGTTAAGGCCTCGCTGAACAGACAGTGTTGGTAGTTACACTACTGATGATGTATTTGTTGTTTATGTTTTACAATAAATTATCTGAGCTACAAAGAACTTGTTTTGTCCTTTGGCTTAAATCTTTACAAGATATATTACTCTGCCAATGAGAACATGAAGAAACAGGAAAATAAACTTTTAGCTTCATTTTAAAATAAACAGAAATCAAGGACTTGTTTACAATTATTTTAACCAAGATTTGATTCAAAATAATATTTCTTTTGAATTAAACTGGATTAATTAAATAGCTGTATTTTTCAGCTACTCGTGTTGTTTGATGTAAACTTGCAGTTTTCTCTGCTCTGTTAACAGAACACAGGTAAACARGTCTGAGTGCTTTAGATGGGGCCTTGTTCACCTGTGACTGACATTTTCATTGTTTTATTTATGTACCTGTCCCACATACTTGTACTGAACCATCATGGGACAAATACACATGATACACCACCAGTAAATAGAACCATTTTACTTGGTTTGGAAGCACAAGTGAGTTTTCCTGTTAGTTTTCTTTTTCAAACAAAGAGCAGCTGCAGCAGCTTTCCTTGTTTTTGTGCAGAAATGCATAGTTGTGCATGAGAAATAAAACTGGGTAAAAGTTCCTGTGGAACCAAGTGAAGTGAAAATACATAAATTATTAACTTGTTCATAAATCACACAAAACAAACAACATATTGAAACGAGTATACTAAAGAAAAAAAAGACTGAATGTTTTCTATATTTATTATTTATTTAAGTTCCTTTATTTTAATAAAATGTTACACTAAAATCACAAAAGATAAATGCTGTCTTGTATAAAGTACCATAAAGTGGTACTTGAGTAAAGTACATGTAACTTACCAAAAAATTTCTTTGGTAAAAGTTAAGGTCTCCTTTAGGAATATTACTTGAGTAAAAGTCTTAAAGTATCTGATATTT